AAACATAAAAAATTATATCAAAATATTTTGTATCAAACTTGTGTTATTTGTTTTGTTACAGATATAATTGATTTCATGTCTAATATATTATTTTTAATATAATTAAACAAATAGATAATGTAACTAAATTATTAGACAAATACAATAATATTTTTTATTATGATTATACTTATATATGTCTAGTTGGTTAGTTATATTTGTTTAAATTAATAATTATATCAAGAGATAATACATTATGTGTGAAATCAAAGATGTGTAATAAAAGTAGCCTCATTTTGATATAAATTAAACTCATAGATATTTGCAACTTCATTACAACCAAATCATTTATCCAATAACTTTCTTATATTTCTCTTTTAAATTTGGTCTTATTGAAGTATATAAAATCGAAGACATGTTTCATCTTAATATAAAATGTATAATGATATTCAGAAATATATATTTTTTATTATTTGGCATGATACCTTTTGATTAAAGCTTAGAAAAGGATTTAGTTATTCATTTTAAAATTCAGTATTTTAATTTTTATGATATTTAACTAAAAATTTAAAATTTATTAAGAGGTGATTAGCTATTCTAAACAATTATATTATAATTAAATAATAACATCACATTAATAATTATATGTAAAACATTATTAGGCTCATTAATTTTGAAATTTTCAATATTCCTAGATACAATAAATGATACAATTATTAATTTCATACTTAATTATCACAATTAAATAGATAATTATATTTAAACCTATTGCATGCTTGAATATTTATGTCGATACAAAAATACAGAGTTTAACATCTTAACTTTGTACGAAGATTTAGAGTACATACAGATAAGAGAGAGGGGTACAACAATGATGACAAACATTAGATTTTTTTTTTATGTGGAAAACTTAGGAAAGCAAAAAACCACAGGACATGAACCAATTAAAATGATTACGCTATTGTTTGTCATTAGCTCAATATAGTAAATATATATCTTATAGAGTACATTATATATAGTTGGAGTAAGAAGAACTCAATGATATGAGAGTTGTTCTTAAGAGATCAATAGCATGTTTGTTTAGTCAGTAGAACAGTAGTCGAACAACGGTGGTCGAAGGGACATAGTGCTCAATATAGTAAATATATATCACCTTCTATTAGAGGCATAACCACTATACCTCTGATTTTAATGAGGCATCAGTGGGAAGGTTTCGAAGGAGTCCCTTTGCTGAAATTTTTTATTTTCTTTAGTTTCCTACTGCTCATGTGTACAAGCCATTTGTTTGGCGCCCCTCTACTAAATAATAGTTGTTTGTTGCATGTAAATCATACATTCATGTAGTTTCGACACTCTATTATATCATTTTATTACTTGATTAGACATATATACTTAGGTATATTAAGTAAGTTTTGTTATTATTTATATCAAAGAAAATCTAAGCATTGTTTAGGGGTAATAAAGCCCTAGATTTTTATACAATTCAAAAGTTCACTACATAGCTCCCATAAGAACCATAGTCAAGTGATAGAGGTTGGAGGGACCATAATCGGATAATAGTGGTCCAAGGATTATGATCGACGGGTGATAAAGGTTGGAAGGATCGTAGTCAGGCAAATAATGTCAAAGGACTGTAATCAATGAGCCACAGAGGTCGGAAGGAGCAATAGTCATGTGATGGTAGTCTGAGGATCGTAGTTAGGAAACAAAGATTGGCGGGATCATAGTCGAGGGACGATGCTCAAAGGTACAAAACTTAGGTAATGGTGTTAGGAGGAACTGTAGTCGGGCGATAGAAATCAGTGATACCTTAATCGGTGGGTGAAAGAAGCTCGATGATGGGGGCCAAACCGAGGTCCTATAATGATGGATGAGAAAAGGCCTAGTGGCGGTGTGCGGGTTGACATAAGATGATGATTAGCTGGTGAAAGTATGGTGGTGATGGCTAGGCGGTGAAGGTTTGCTTCCTGTGGTGTTTGGGTGGAGCTCCGGGATTCTTTAAGTTCTAAAACCTTTTTGAACCTCTAGTCGAGGTCCAAGCCCCTCCCCCAAAGCATCCCCCTCATGTAAACAGTGAAGGTCTATTTATAGATTTTGGGAGTGACATGACTCATAAATGTTAGAGTAGACAACTTAAATAGCTGTTCTTACTT